AAAATTAGTATTGTGTGGATTTAATAGACTATTACATGCTGAACTCTTTTATATTTTGTTTTTGTGTGTCCCTTTACACTTCCTTTATTGCTACTGCTCCTTATTATTAGCCAATAGTTTTTATTTTGTGTGCCCCCTTATTGCTATTGCTTTTATTTTGTGTGCCCCCTTATTGCTATTGATTTTATTTTGTGTGCCCCCTTATTGCTATTGATTTTATTTTGTGTGCCCCCTTATTGCTATTGATTTTATTTTGTGTGCCCCCTTATTGCTATTACTTTTATTTTGTGTGCCCCCTTATTGCTATTGCTTTTATTTTGTGTGCCCCCTTATTGCTATTGATTTTATTTTGTGTGCCCCCTTATTGCTATTACTTTTATTTTGTGTGCCCCCTTATTGCTATTGCTTTTATTTTGTGTGCCCCCTTATTGCTATTGCTTTTATTTTGTGTGCCCCCTTATTGCTATTGATTTTATTTTGTGTGCCCCCTTATTGCTATTGATTTTATTTTGTGTGCCCCCTTATTGCTATTGCTTTTATTTTGTGTGCCCCCTTATTGCTATTGATTTTATTTTGTGTGCCCCCTTATTGCTATTGATTTTATTTTGTGTGCCCCCTTATTGCTATAGCTTTTTTACTAAAATTTAATTTGTATGCTGTAAGAACAGGAGCCCATGGTTTGCAATGCATAATGATCCACGTGACTGCACATGACTTGTAAATATCATGTGATACTATTAGTTTTTAAAATTCAAACTCCACCCCATCACACGTCATAAGTTTTGGAAAAAATCAAAAATTCAAAAGATTATGTCAGAAGAAGCTACATTGTCTACCCATTCCAGTGTTGCAGTAAGTAGCAGCTGCTATATATTCATTCATGTATACTGTTGTATCGTTACTAGTCTACATCTTTTGATTGGGACAAGATAGAATGGTCTAAATTTAGTCCTGAGGAGAGACACAGGTTTGATGTAGTTCAGTTGTTGTATTATGAATAAATTAAATACAGTAATTACTCAGATCATGAATAATAATTAATAGTACCACAATCAATAATGTATGATTACATAAAAATTAAATAACACACAATTAGTTCAGACACAAAAATTTCCTAACCAGCCCATTAATTACCAGATACATGGTTATAATTTGCTGGATATTGTAAAAAAATTGACTGAAAATTGTAGTAAAAATAAGTCTAAGGACTAAAAGACTACAGCCATATCTTGACACAACTAATGCAATGTATGAATTATTTTAAAATAATTTTCTATATTATTAAAGGTTACGTCACCGGATGATAGAGGAGAAGCACAGGGGCCATGACCTGATGCATGCTGAAATGATATTAATACTGTTTGCATCTATTGGGGTAGCACAAGTACTCCTCTTCTTATGGAGAATAAAGCACAGGAAATCCTACCAGGTAGACACAGCATACATGTACATGTGTACAAGTAATAATATACTAATAATATACTAATGATATACTAATAATATACAGTAATATACTAATAATATATAGTAATTTACTAATGATATACTAATAATGTACAGTAATATACTAATGATATACTAATAATGTACATTTATGTATTGGTAATAATAAGGTATAAATGACATATAATAATAGTTAGTATATAAATGTACATTTTATACAAGTTAGCTAGTTCCTCCATAATTATTGCTTATACTGTATTTCAGCAGCATATGAGAATGTGGTCCTATAGTATATAACATTGATGATTTTAATTTCTCTCCTCCTTTCTCTTTTAGGCCATTACCTTATTAGGCATGTGGATAATTCCATTTTATTTGTGTGTTCGGTTGAGTTTCTGGAGGATGATCATCATATGGTCAATATTCTCTATTATTACATTATTTGTAATGTTTAAGGCTACTAGGAAGAAGCTTCATGTCAACACTCCAAAGTTAGTTCAATTATGACAATTTCTGTAAAAAAATACCCTGTACTATAGCCCATAGTTTTTTCCAAAAAATGGCTCCGAAATCACCACCAATTTTTATTACATTTTCTGATACATATTGATGTCCTTATGCTGTGTAGAAAGTTTGAGCTAATTCTGACTTCGTTTTTATAAGTTACGGCCATTTTTAACAAAATGCCAAAATTCTGAAAAAATCCCTGTACTATAGCCCATAGTTTTTTCCAAAAAATGGCTCCGAAATCACCACCAATTTTTATTACATTTTCTGATACATATTGATGTCCTTATGCTGTGTAGAAAGTTTGAGCTAATTCTGACTTCGTTTTTATAAGTTACGGCCATTTTTAACAAAATGCCAAAATTCTGAAAAAATCCCTGTACTATAGCCCATGGTTTTTTCCGAAAAATTGGCTCCGAAATGACCCCCAATTTTTATTACATTTTTTGATACATATTGATGTCCTTATGCTGTGTAGAAAGTTTGAGCCGATTCCGACTTCAATTTTTCAAGTTATGGCCATTTTAAGATTGTTTAATTTTAGTATCACCAGCTGGTAGATGTACACTATAGTCCATTGGTTGTTCCTCTTCTTCCTCTCTCTCTCTCTTGTTGTAGGATAGTGTACAGGTGGTTCCTATGGATATATCAAGCTAGTTATGCTCTAGGTATCATTGGGTATTTAGTATTATTGCTAGTGTTCACTGGACTGGGACTATTGCTACCAGTTAATCCTGACGTTATACTGGAGACTGGAGTGACACTGGTGTTTTATGGAGTGTACTATGGTGTAATGGGACGAGACTGTGCTGAGGTCTGTCTGGACTACATGTCAGCTGCCATGACAGTAAGAAGACGGAGAGTAAGGTATGTTCAGCAATTGAATGAGTTTGAATAACTAAACTACTAATCATCCTCCAATTGAGTAAAGTAATTGGTCATTGCCTCATTCCTGACTATTAGAGTCAGCAACCTACTATCGCACACCATCGATATTCGAACACTTTTTCTCACAGTTCAGTGATCAGAAGCCAGTGGCTATAATTTTATCTTGTAGATCAGATGTTCCTCTACAGCTGTAACAACTTTCATAGAGATCAGTCTTTGCTGTGTTTTTTATAATAATTTTTTAGTAGAAGTTTCGAACACATGCAAGTTCGCATAGACGCCATGTATTGTCGTTCACCTATTTTCGCTCAGTAATGAAGTAACTGGCAAACAGTTCATC